ATATACACATGTACACTTATACAAAAAAAAAAGCAGAAAGTTCAAAACTAAGACGAAAAACACAAAAAGGTTCTTAGCTTTGGCAAATAACTGCAGGCGCTCTAAATCTGCGCCTTAGTAGCGACCAACATCGCCACCGCCGTCACCAATGCTGTCGATGCCCACACACAGTGGCTAACGAGTTATGTTTCTCCAATCCAAATTAAATTAAATAAAATTTGCTGAGGACCATTACAAATTAAACTACAATTATTTACTTATTTATTTATATTTTTATCAACAAACATTGGCTGTCCATTTAGGAAAACAATATAAAAAATTAAAAAAAGAACAACTTATAAGCTAGGAAAGCCTAAGTAGAATAAATTTAATCAAAATACAATATTAATAATAATTGACTTAACAGAAAGCTTCATTTAAGCTGCAACAAAAACTGAACATTTCCACCCTTTAAAAAAGAAACGCTTAAGCTTTTTAAAAAGTTGTTTTATATTCATATTTATATTTTAAGTCTATTTGAAATACCTCATTTGTAATCAAATTACAATAATAATAATAATAATAATAATAATAATAATAATAATAATAATAATAATAATAATAATAATAATAATAATAATAATAATTAGCTTAACAGAAAGCCGCATTTAAGCTGTTCCCTTTAAAAAAGAAACGCTTAGGCTTTTAAAAAAGTTGGCTTAAATTAATTATTAATTATTTTATTATTTTCAGTTGGAGACAAAGCCTATTTGAAATACCTCATTTGTCTACCCTAACATCTTAATTGTAAGCTCATTAGTTTGTGAATTTTTCATTTCCGAGTTATCATCACATATTTCATACTTAATCTTTAATATGGAACGAGTCTGAGAGACTATTAGTTTCTCGAATCTTTATATTTTATTTTTTAGCTTCTGAAACTGTTATTATAAAATACCTAAAGCCATTTATAAAGATTGATGGAAATTGTGACTGTTTGTTAATAATTTTATATCTTGCCTCCATCGATCGCTTGAATATATCATTGAATGAGCAGCAGCATTAATATTCATATTGGTTTCCAAAATACAATATTTCATTTCTTTATAATAAATCAAAAGATTATTTTAACCCAGCAATAGGCAATCTAAGTTTATCGGAATATTTGTTATGCTCGGAAAAAAACGTGACAGGCGAAAAATTAATTGAAAAATCATGCCTTTATGCATCTAGTTTCACAAATTGAATTTATTTTGCGCATTGACTTACTATTGCTGCATTAAAAAAATTTTACTTATACGTATACTCGTATGTGATGGTTTCATATATATAATATAAAATATTTACTATACTATACACTCGGTTGTGCTGCCATTGAGACCAAATTGTGTATTGGAATGTTTATAGATGTATCGAATGACGTGGGCTTATTGAAATGAGATTGGCGGTGTTATAATTGCACAAACGATTAATGAAATACTTGGCTTACTCAATGATGTTGCAAAGTATGAGTGGAATCAGATTTTTATATTTCATAAGGATATATATACTATTTAATGCGTCGAACTAGAATTATGTGTATATGTAGATATGTATTTATTATTAAAAAAATAGTCCTGAATGCATTTCTTTTAAAAACAGATGAATTTACATAATATATTATTCAAATAAAATGCTCACTTTTATGAAAACTGTCTATCGGACAGTTAACAGATTTCTTAGATTGTTTTTTTTTTTTGTAATATGAAATGATTTTCTTCTTTTTGCCCGAAATGGTTTATATTAACAATTTTATTTAGGTTGTATAAACTAACTCGTACTAAGAGATTAATAAAAATAATAAATCATTTCTGCGACAAGATACATAACACTTGAATATAATTTAAATTGCCATCAACTATTCTTAAGACGATAAATGGTATGTAAAGTTCAGTTTCATTATAGTGGTTTACATCTCATAAAAGTTATATAGTTTGGTCTGAAACTTTCTCTTCAATAGTTTGTATGACCCTCTAAATACCCTCATAATGGTCTTTTATTCAATGGCAATGTGATTTTGATTCACAGTACACTTTTGAAGCGTTGTGCGTATGTGCGTGTTTATATGTGTTTAAGGACATATAACAAATATATAAAGCAGGGCATGCAAACAAACAAAACGCTAGCGTCTGCTGCTACTGAAAAATAACAAAATCAAAAGGATTTTGCGTATAAGTTGCAAATTAAGTTGCCGCCATCGTCGTCGTCGTCGTCGTTGTTGTATTTGTCGGTTGCCTCGCAGCGAGCAGCAGGGACACACTTGTGCTTATGATATCCTTTTGGCCTTGCGGCTACATTGACGACAACAACAACAACAACAACAGCAGCAGCAGCAGCAGCAGCAAGTTTTTTCTTTTTATGCACACGCTTCCTATTTTCACTGTTGACGGCGTTGGCAAGAAGAGAATTTTGTTATTACGCTGACATTCTTATTTATTTTCGCATTTATTTTATTTTTTGTGTGCTGCTTAAGCGGCACATCTGCAGGGGGTGGGGGGTAAGTCTTGGAGCTTTTATCAGGCAGCTAACATCGGCAGTTTAGCTCTCGCTTGCCACATGTGTGGCTGCCACTGCTGCTGTTGCTTTTTCTAAACGGCTAAAAATCCTTTAATTGAGTGCACACTTATGCCAAACACAGAGGAACACACACACACACACACTCATGCACACAAATATATGTACATATATACATATGTAGTTGTGAGTGTGTGTGTGCTTGCAGTGGCTGGCGTTGCTTTCGAGTTCGCCATGCTTCATGCCTTTTTATGCGCTTTTAGCGCCATTATCCTTTTACGATTATCGCTGCCAAAGCGAATTGACTGTTTGACTTTCAATTGAAATTTTGCATTAAAGCTCAATGGCTTAACCCCTTCAAATTATGCAATAACGTGCCCAGAGAGAGAGACACACACACACACACACACACACACAGGCACACACACAGAAAAAGAGACAGATAGGGAATGGGAATGGGTGAAAGCCCCATTATAGTTCCGGCTGTTGGAAATTCAAAATGGCAGGCAGCAGTTACTGGCAGTGGCATCGAAATTCAGCCAATTAGCGCGCATTGCTCATACGCCGCGTTTGTCACACACACACACACACACTTAACTGCAGCTCACTGTGCATGTGTGTGTGTGCGGCAAGCTCGCTCACTCGCATAGCGGAAACGGAAGTTGTAAGGGGATTTTCAATTTGCAATCGAACTGATTTTTGGCTTGCCTCGTCTTCTATTTTTTTTCCCTTCTCTGTCTCTCTCTCTGCGCTCATTTTATGGCTGGTTTCGTTTGGTGGCTGCCACAGTGCTTCAATGCTCCATAGCTGCGGGCTGTTGGCTGTTGGCTGCTGGCTTGTGGAAAGGCAGTGCGGAAATGTAATCATTGCCTTTTGCACTCACTGCTTATCGGCAAAGTCAAACGTACACACCAACACCAACACCAGCACAGACACAAAGAAGCGGGAGGACGAGGATGACGACGTTTATACTTACATTTAATTTCCACTAATTGAATCGAAATCGATCTCTGCATTTTTTTTTGTTCAGCTCAAAGTACGACTATATGGGATGAGAAGTAGGTGGCTAAGTGGGCGTGACTTCGTAGCGTATATACTCGTATATAAACTTTTCGTATAAATCAATGAATTTTGTCGACATTTGGCGTGCGAAGAAATTAACCAACGGAACGTGGCTAAAGGATTAAGCACTGGATGGGTGGGAAACTCATTATGGATTATGAGGCAGGAAGGCGGTTTAAAACTTTCTGGGCCAGATAGATGATGGGGTTTATTATTAGACCAGAGCACAGCTATTAATAAAAGTCCTTCTCAATGAGGCATTGTAAGTTTTTGACTAATTACGAGCATTCATTTGGCGCTGTCAGAAATGTTCAAGCGATGCGGCTTTAAGGTTACAAAGACATCTAGTTAGATCGGTTATCCAAGCTGCAACTATTTGCTTCAATAAATATAAATAAATTGTTGTAAAGATTGAAGAGCAGCTGGACTGGATATATGTATGTATGTACATATGTTGACGAAGAACAACGAAGAGTGGTGATTAAGGAGCTTATCGCCACCTATGTAAGTATGCCGAAGAAGCAATAGAAGAATTTCTGATCGTAAGATACGATCTTTGTCAAAAACTTTGTCATGTCTTTGTCATTCAAAACTTATTTCAATTGAAGCTTGCCGTAAAAAAGTCCAACTCTTACGGCAACATCAATTTTTGAAGTGAAACTACTTGTGTAATGTGTAACGAGACCATCTAAACCATGAAATGTAAACAAACTTGGTGTTCTCCAATTGGTCAAAACACATTGGTGTACTTTAAAATAAACTCGCAATCGTTAGCAATTGATTTGTCTTCCGCTTAATTATGCCTTCATGGAATGTAAGTCTTGATTTTTAAGTGTCCCCATTTCTTGTGGTAATGGACTTTCCAGAAATATTTTTAATGCGAAATACAACTGCGTTGTCAGAGTTTCTTCAAAGCTGGATTGGCAACCATCGATGACAGCGGGCTTTCTATCTATTTTGTAGCGTGTTTTATAGCTATTTATAGCGTTGTTTCTAGCAGTTTTCCAATTATATATTTTTAGTGAGGTTTTTTAGACATTTTCTGGCGAGGTATTTTGAGCGGATTTTCTACCCTTTCTCTGGCTACTAATAATTGTTTTTCTTGTTATTTTTTTTAGCGGGTTTTCTAGCTAGTAATAGTGGTTTTTAGGCCATTTTAAAGCGAATTTTTAGGGAGTTGGTGCTGGGTATTTAAGAGTTGAACCCGTTGAAATATAGCATTCCTATCGTGTTCAATTTTTTGAGTTAATGCGAGACCCCAAAGCAATGGTAGAAAAATAATTTCTATGCCGTAAGCTCAGCAGTATTTGCTTCAGAAAATGTGGAAAAGGAACTTCTTCGATCATTTTGAAGATATCTCCAGCAATTAGACAGGGTGGAGGAATTCTAATAGTACACTTTTCATATAAACAACAATCTCAAAGACAGTTTATTTATTTCGCTGCTTGTGTGGCTCAGAATAGTCATTTGTGGAGAGAAAATGTACATACTTGTAAGTTGCCAAAAGATTGTCCAATAACTGGTAACGCACACATTTGTAGGCATCAGTAATACAATTCTATATTTTCCTCGAGATGCTTAAAGGTTTTCACGATAGTGTCATACAACTGATTAAGCTCCTCTTCGATGGCCGCCTGCCCCTCCTTTGGATTCTTAAACTTCATAGTGGACAGCTGGTACATTATTTTACCGGTCCGCTCCCGAATGACACCCCAAGTGACGCGCAACTCCTGGCCCGCTGTATTCTTTACAGCTTCCAAAGCACAGCGATGGAAGGCCATCATGTTGCGCAGCATCGCCACCGTTTTATAGAAGGGACATAGGGCGTCGTAGTCGCTGTACGAATTTTGCTGCAGGAAGTCGTCCTTGAGCATTTTGGCCACCTCCAGTGTGATTTTGTCCGACTCGGTAAGCGAGGTTTTGCCCACAAGCTGTACAATTTCGGAGAGGTCCTCCTCCTCCTGCAAAATTTGCTTGGCCCGTGCTCGCAGCTCTATAAACTCGGGATGGGTCTCTTCATAGTAAGGTTCCAGAGCTCGAATATACTTGGAGTAGGATTGCAACCAATTGACGGAGGGAAAATGCTTACGTTGTGCCAACTTCTTGTCCAGTCCCCAGAATACTTGCACGATGCTGAGCGTAGCCGAGGTAACGGGATCGGAGAAGTCCCCACCGGGTGGCGACACAGCGCCCACAATTGAAATGGAACCGTCACGTTCCGGATTTCCCAGGCAACGTACACGACCCGCTCGCTCGTAGAAGGAAGCGAGACGCGCTCCCAAATAGGCCGGGTACCCCGCATCAGCCGGCATTTCAGCCAATCGTCCCGAAATTTCACGCAAAGCTTCGGCCCAACGAGATGTGGAATCAGCCATCATGGCCACATGATAACCCATATCGCGAAAGTACTCCGAGAGCGTAATTCCCGTATAGATGGAAGCCTCACGTGCCGCCACAGGCATGTTGGAGGTGTTCGCCACCAATGCCGTGCGCTTCATGATCGATTCATTTTTGCCATTGACCTCGACGGTGAGTTCCGGAAAATCGCGTAATACTTCGGACATTTCATTGCCCCGTTCGCCGCAGCCTACATAGATGATCACCTGGGAGTTGGAGTACTTCGATAGGGCTTGCGCGATGACTGTCTTTCCGCATCCGAATGCACCCGGTATGGCCGTAGTGCCGCCCTGGACACAGGGAAAGAATGCGTCGAGTACACGCTGTCCCGTCAGCAAAGGGTGGGCGCCGGGCAGCTTGTCGACAACGGGACGGCTGCGTCTCACTGGCCACACCTGTAGCATGGTGTGGCGCGTCACCTTATCCTCGTACTCAGTTTCCAGTACGACATCCTCCACTTTATAGTGTCCTGCCGGCGCCAACCACTTGACGCGTCCCTGGCTTCGTGGTGGCAACATTAGGCGATGTTCCAGCATAGAGTTCTCATGTACTGTGGCATAGATATCCCCACCGGTCAGGGTGTCATTCGTAGTTAGACGCTCCGGCGAAAAGTCATAGGAAATATTGCGTGGCAGACTCTTGATGTCTATACCCTTGGGCACATAAATGGACTTGGTTAATTCGTTAATGGTGCGCAACGGGCGCTGTATGCCATCGAATATGCTGCCCATAATGCCGGGGCCCAGCTCCACGGATAGCGGCTTGCCCGTCTGATAGACGGGGTCGCCCACACTGACGCCAGATGTGTCTTCGTACACCTGAATGGTGGCCATATCGCCTTCGAGTCGGATTATTTCGCCCACCAAATGGAAGTGTCCCACACGCACCAGCTCGTACATAGCAGCGCCAGCCATTTCCTCGGCATTGACGACCGGACCGGAGACGCCAAAAACACGGCCCATGTGCTCCTCTTCAATGAAGAACTTTTGATTACTATATTGTTCGTCCAGCTGTTCCTCGAGCTCCTCGGCCGACTTCACCTCTTCTACATCTACGAAGGAAGTGTTCGTGGAGATGTCGGTGTAGATGGGGGACGCGGGATCCGGGCAATAACAACTTGGTGGAGCTGGACACATGTTGGTTTCGGGTAGATGGCTGAATTGAAGAATAAACTAAAATTTTGTTCTCTCATATAAATATGGTATTTATCGTAATTTTTGCTGGATTTGTTGTGAACGAACTACTGACAGCATAGGAAAGGGCAGTGTGAGAGAGAGAGAGAGAGCGTTAGGGGAAGGGCTATAAATCAACGGCCACTTACATGAAATGTATTGATTGTTTTTATTGTTTGCACTTTATTCGTACATTTAATATTTCATCATTCTTTAAATATTTACATAAATTTAACAAACAAACAAGGAGAACAAAAATGACTTTCGACAAATAATCAGGAATTTCCATTCATTAAACAATAATACTATTTATGTGTGCGTTTATAACTGTGTCTTTATGTGCGGCTTGTTGTGTGTATACGACGTATACGTATATATGTATGTATATGTGTATGTGTAATGGAAGTACATAGAAGGACGTTAGTTACTTGTTGGCCGTGAACGAAGCACGAGTAGAGACCGGGAATGTTAGTTCAATTCTCACGCTTCGGATGGCAAACCAAACAAAAATGGATGGCTTGGAATGTTAACGGTATTTGTAAGCTCAAAGCTTGGAATTTTCTCGCACGGAATTTTGACGGAATAGTACACAGTGTACGTTTTTTGCCATTTTAAAAGTTAACTATATAACAAATATAAGATTAGTGTTAAATTAAAGCAATTGTGTGCTCTAATCCTCCAGATTTCTGAAGGCCTGCTGCAGGTCTTCGTGCAACTGCTCAAAGTCAGCCTTGATCTTGGCCTCACCATCCTTGACGGGGTCCTGAAAACAAGCGCCAAAAATATTGAAATAGTTATGGTTTCAGAGTTTCTTTTTTTGATAGAGTTTGACACATACCTTGAATTTCATTGAAGACAACTGGTACATAATATTGCCCATAGCCTCACGTATGACGTTCCAGGTGATCTTGTTCTCAGACTGAGCCGTTGACTCAACGGAGTGGCGCGCCAAGTCGTAGAAATCAATAATGTTCTTTAGCATACCGACGGTCTTGTAGAAGGGGCAGAAACGATCGTATGAAGAGTACGAGTTCTGTTGCAAGAAATCGTCCTTAAGCAGCTTGGCCACCTCAAGTGTGATCTTGTCGGTTTCAGCCAGCGATGCCTTGCCGACCAATTGCACAATTTCAGACAAATCCTCTTCCTCTTGCAGAATCTCTTTGACCTTGGTACGCAGTGGCACAAACTCGGGGAAGTTCTTGTCATAAAAATCATCCAAAGCACGCATGTACTTCGAATAGGAGATGAGCCAGTTAATGGAGGGGAAATGCTTGCGCTGGGCCAACTTCTTGTCCAAACCCCAGAACACTTGGACAATACCGAGGGTAGCGGAGGTGACGGGATCGGAGAAATCACCACCAGGTGGTGATACAGCACCGACAATAGAGACAGAGCCCTCACGTTCGGGATTACCCAAGCACTTAACGCGACCGGCACGCTCGTAGAAGGAGGCCAGACGTGCACCCAGATAGGCGGGGTAGCCGGAATCGGCAGGCATTTCAGCGAGACGACCTGAAATTTCACGCAAGGCTTCGGCCCAACGGGAGGTGGAATCAGCCATCATGGACACGTTGTAACCCATATCACGGAAGTATTCGGAGAGGGTGATGCCTGTGTAAATGGAAGCTTCACGAGCAGCGACAGGCATGTTAGATGTGTTAGCGACCAGGGCGGTACGCTTCATGATGGACTCGGTCACACCATCGATTTCGACAGACAGTTCGGGGAAATCACGCAATACTTCAGACATTTCGTTACCACGCTCACCGCAACCGACATAGATGATAACATCGGAGTTGGAGTACTTGGAAAGGGCCTATCAAAGAAAACAAAGTTGTAATGTATTGTAGAGCACATATTTTTTAGAAGGTCTCACCTGTGAGATGACAGTCTTGCCGCAACCGAAAGCACCGGGAATAGCAGTGGTACCACCTTGGACGCAGGGGAAGAGGGAATCGAGCACACGCTGACCGGTCAACAGTGGGTGATTGGCGGGAAGTTTCTCAGTGACTGGACGTGGCTGACGCACGGGCCACACTTGCAACATAGTGTGCTTGGTGATCTCACCATCAAACTCCGTCTCCAGGACAACATCATCGACCTTGTAATTGCCAGGGGGCGCAATATAACGCACGGTACCCTTGCCGCGAGGATTCACAATCATCTTGTGCTTCACCAGAGTGTTCTCGTGCACCAGACCGTACAGATCACCACCGGTAATGTGGGAGCCAACTTTCACGTGCAGTGGGTTAAACTCCCAGGACTGAGTACGCGACAAACAGGGCACGTTCACGCCTTTGGGTATGTAAATGGACTGGGTCAACTCGTTGATGTCCTTCAGTGGACGCTGAATACCGTCGAAAATGCTGCCCATAATACCGGGGCCCAACTCTACTGACAGGGGCTTGCCAGTACGTAACACGGGATCACCGACTGTGACGCCCGAGGTTTCCTCGTACACCTGAATGGTGGCCATGTCACCCTCCAGACGAATAATCTCGCCCACCAGTTCGTAGTAGCCGACGCGCACCAACTCGTACATAGCAGAGCCAGACATGCACTCCGCCGTGACGACTAGTGGAAGATGGCTTGCATTAATATCGCTTTCTTGTGGAGTGCGCGCAATTTTGAAGGACTGCTGCGCTACTTACCAGGACCGGAGACAGCGTAGACACGTCCATATTTGGACTCATGCTCCTCGTCATCGAAACGCTTCAGATTGGACATTTTGTTTTATTTTGCTGTACAACTGCAATAGAAATGGAAGGAGCATTTAGTTTGTTGGCTTTTCTTGTCGCTTTTATACCCTAGTAGTTTAATGAGGTATATGAGGTTATCCAGGAGTTGTGTGATCATCAGACTTTCTGTGTGAAGAACGAGTTTTTTCAAGCTACAAATAGCACAAATTCCTACTTGTTTAGAAATCGCAGGTGTTAAGTATTTAAATGTTTCAGAAAGGGAAAATACTTTTAATGAATTTGTTGAATCGGCAGTTAGTTGATAAGTGCATAGTACAAACATATTTAGATCAAGCTTGCTTAAGCAAGTTTATCCTTGAATAAAAAATTTCATTAGGAAACTCCTGGTTTTTGTGATGCCACGAAGCTATAATAAAGTGAATAGAGTGTATTCCATAGTTGGGCGCTCGAGTAGAAAACTCCTGTTGGTTTTTATTTTATTTTATGTTTGCACAAGATAAAAAAATGCCCTTATCAATAGTGGGTGAAATTAAACTGGTTAGTTGGGTGGCTGCTCTGCTTTGTGATGTCAGCTGACGTGAGTCGGCAGCAATGGCTCTTGGAGTTTCCTCAACATTTATTTTTTTTGAACTCACTTGTGTGCGGCTTGGCAGTAATTATTTTAGTGCTATTTAGTGGCAATGTTTTAAAAATTTCGCAGCCACACAACTCCCACAAATTCAGTTCAGTAGTGGCACGCACATACGAGTAAAAAATGTAGAAAAGAGCTTTAATTTCACGTGACAAAGCTTTGTCAAGTTCGAAGTGGTTGGAAAACTAAGACGACGACGAAAATTCCAGAGCGTAAGAGGGAGTACTCAGAGAAGGCGCATTAATTGAAAACTAGTTTCAAATGAGACTCAAGAAAGGGCAACAATGCAAGCGAGAAAAAAGACTGTTTTTTCAGTTTTTTAATTAAAGAAACATGCGGGTGCATTTAGATATACAAGTTCTGTATGTTATCTACAATTGGTATTGTATAGCACTCGCTCTCTGGGCCGCTCTCTTTTTCTGCCACTCCATGCTCTCTCGCACATTCGAACTCGAAAATTTGACAATTGGCTTTGACGTTGATCACAAGACTACTGTCAATGTTGTCAGCTGACAAATAAAAAATGCAGACGATTTGGAGCTACCAAAGCGGGGCTCTAATGGACAGTTAGCCATCCACCATGTTGGATTTTTGACTTTTCAATTGAAATGCAATTTTTTCCATACAAGTGTTAATGCATTTGTTTGTCTGTGATAACGCATAATCACAAGACCACGGCAGCAGGCATGACGGCGAGGTCAGCTGACAAGGCATTTTTTATTTTTTCGCGACATCCAATTGGAAAGTTTTACACGCGATTTTCGCAAAACATAATTGGCAGATTACAGATTTTACAGTTATACACTCCAATAGGTATTTCATTAATTTACTTGTACTTTTGTTTGTCCATTAGGGCGCACCTGCGTGCACTGTATTATCTAATAAATTAGATCGTAGATATATATCGTCTGCAAACAATTCGGCTGCAATTTTATTTTTTTTTTAACTTTTTTAATTCACTAATCTAACGGGCACAGAAACTAAATGTAATTTCTTGTGTGTAATAATTGAGTAATTCTGTAATTTGTTTTTTTGCTTGCTTACTTTTTTTCTGTGTCTACACTTCGCGCTTTGCTGCTGCGAACGAATGCTGCTCTACACTCCAACAGAACTAAAACCGACTAAACTGACTGAGCGACGATGTTGACGCTCGCACTTCGAAAAGTTCCAAGCGAGCGTGATTATGGTTGTTGTTGTTGTTTTTGCTCTTGCTATCATTGGAATGTGTGAAGTTGATCGTGCGTTGAGCTTTCGTCGGAGCTTTGCGGCAACAGCTTTGGCTTTTTCACGCACCATCGATAGATCTTGAAGCTTCTTATCGAATGCGTAGTAGCGAGCAGCGCTGCCTGACTGATAGAGTAGTACTTGGTTATTTACATACATATATTGAGCGCTCTGATGTTGGCTTTAATTTTGTAACTGTTTACTGAGGGTTTTTCTAAGTGCCGTTTATTCATTTTAGTTTTAGTTAAAATATTTTAAAAATAGACAAGGTTTAGGCAAATAATGTCTAAATAGGACAAATGTAAATTTTATTTTAATAATATTGAATAATGTGATAATATAAAAGAAAAGCATTTAGAGACGTTTATCCAGTCATATGGACGAACATCGATTTCTCCCATCATTCTTATTGCAATTTAACTTATGAACATACTTAAATACTTTATGGTGTCAAAGATTCTTCCTTCGGTCTCAAAAAGTTTGTGTATATCAGATTAATCCAGAAAAAGAACGAGAATTTAAAATTTTTGGAGAACGTAATACATAAAACATAATACTTTTTGATCGTAGTTTCGTTACTATTTGGTATTGATTTAAGTAAAAAATTCTTCATTTTTTGAGTGTGTATGTGGAAGTCAACAGTTTACCGACAAAATCAAAATCGAATCTTAAACAGCAGCCAGTAATACTCGTATTGTGCACGACTTTATTGTTTAGTTAGTTAGTTAGTGAGTGCTGGGCAGGCTAAAAACAAGTGGATTCCATCCGTTGCTATAGTTGGTACACAACTTTGATTAAAATTTGACAAAGATACATACATATATGTATGTACTACATACATATCTTTTTGTTGTGTTCGCTTTTGTTTTCCAGCGCTTTTTTGTATAACCAATCAGCGGCGTGTCGTAAAAATGATGAACGTGCATCTGAAAAAAAAAAAACCGAAGCAAGTCTAATTGGAATCAGAGTGGGAGCGGGAAGCAGGGCAGAATACATTCTGATGCATTTCCTTTTTTTTGCACACGCTGGCATCAAAAGTGGCAAGTACAAGAACTAAAACCATTGCTTACAATGTAATGTAGTCGATTGCTCCGGGTTGGCAGCATCTTTGCATAACTTATAAACCGATGACGTCGACAACGGGCACTGCTCGGCATTTGCATAATAAGAAGGGCAGCTGAAATGGTTTGCTGCAATTGGCGGGGGGTGAGGGTGGCGGCCCTCCCTTTCTCTAGCAGACTCTAGCACTTTGGAGATTTGTCTTTGGCGGGCAATGCGCCAATAAGCGACATGCTCGTACATACTTGCAAACAAAGAGCAGAGTAGTGCATCTAGAGATGAGGATGTTGCGAAATTTCCAATCACGAGATATCGCATTTTCAAAAGAAACATTAAACTATTAGGCTAGGGAGCAATAATAAGCCAAATTTATCAGCACCAACATAGTAGTGCCATCTGTTTGTCCATCAGACAGTATGATCGCTGCGTTTATAAATACTTTGGCAGCTAGAGATTAAAAATTTTGCATAATAGTTGTTCTGTTTAATATATTATATTTATCTATTTATCTTATATTTAAGTCGTGCATATTGGTTTTGCAAATTGTTTGAAATTTAATCTTTAAATAAGTAAGAATTTACTTTGTGCTTTTTGAAATATAAGTATATAACCTAAATATACTGTTATCTGAAATAAATTAGATTAAACTTATAGAAAATTACAATAACAGCTTAACTAGTCTCATTACTATTTTTGTGCAGGAATAAAGAAAACATTAAAAAAATTTATGGGAATAGAAGTAGTATAATGGATTTATGTTCCATCAAGAATGTCAACGAGAACTTCAATTATAGGATACAAAAATTTCATTGCCATTAAATGTTATTTTAGAAAAAAAGAAAAATAGGAATACTTATATAATATCTAACCTAGCTTACATTTAAATATATCAAATTTGTTTGTTAGAATTTATTAAAATAAAATAACATATTTATTGGTCATCTCTATTTGTTAAATATTTTTTTATTTAATTTTATACTCAATTGAATGACGCGTTTATATATTTTACGTTAGTTAAGTTAGGTTTGGTTACTGACAAGTAATTTGTTTTCTTAGACGTCAGTACATCCTCTCGGATGTATACACCTTGGCTAAACATCCTTTCAACGGTGATAGAGAATGCTGGACTGCATAGATTTTTCCTGCGACCAGTCTGGAAGGCTTTCTTGTCTTGGATATGTGTCTGAAATATAGAACAGCATAATTATGTTAACAATTAAGCTGTTATGTATTGTAGACGTATATTAATTTGATTTCATATTAATTTGAATAAGGCATTTATTTCTTATATGTTAGTTCTGTAGATGTGTGCACATATTACAAGTTTGATTTTATATTGCATTACATTGTACACTTAATTGTGTGTTTTTATGGTAGATTGGTTGCAAAAAAAAACCGTGTAAAAAAAGACATTGATCGTAGGTGATTGGTTCCAGGTCTCTAAAACCTATTAAAATTGGTGAAAAACAAGGATTTTTAAGAATAATTGTTCGTCATGTTTATTTTATTAAGTCACATATATACTTGGTATTTACACAATCATAGTTATTAAAGAAAAAAAGATGTGCACTCTAGCTTAAAAGTATGAAATGTAAATTAAATGTATGACAAGTTCAGGAACTAAAAACAATTATGTTCGTACTATGTAAAACCGCTTTGTTGTTAACAAATAAAATAGGTTATTCATTTTTTATGGTAAACAAAATTAAAAAAAAAATTTAATTGATATTCATAAATACAGGAACACAAAATTTTATTGCTGTCATTATCAGTTACTCGAATTCGCTTGCTTCGAATGCGTATGAAATCACTATTTTTGATGAAATAATATTGAACTGGACTTTATATTGCTAGTTCGGCACCAACATTTTTAACAGTGAACTCTGTTTTGAGCTGTTGTTGGCCAATTGTTGCTGCCTCTTTGAATAATTATTTGTAACGACCCATACAAGAATGGTTTCTAGCTATTTGTGAGATGTGTGTGTTTTTTTTAATTTGTCTTGTGTTATTTTAAATCGTGCTAAATGGAATAGGATCGCGTAACAAAATTTAAAGTTTTATATTTTCTAACCGTGTTAAATCAAAACCGTGTTAAAACAGAATTAGGTGTTGTTTATACTCTTCCCATATTTCGCTCTCTTTTCCGTTCTTTTTTGAACTATAGAGATTCCAAATACAGCGAGAATGCACTCTACAAGTATTCTAGATTGAGTTTTGAATTGTTAGAGCAAATAGTTCGTCACGTTGCTTTCTCATCTTCATTCAACAAAATAATATATTTACGTATGCATGCATGTACTTGTCTCGTGTGTGTAGGTAGCTGTTTGCTGACGGCATTTGTGTCAAATGCAGAGAGCTATCAGCACCAGCATCTAAGCTTTTTGTTCGCATGAGTGGTACTGCAGTTTTTAAAATTTGTTCTGCATTTGACAGACAGCGTCGAGGCGATATTCTGCCCACATTTGTATCTACAAATAAGTATACATACATCTGTGTGCACTCGTATGTATGTATGTAGGTTTTGTTGCTCCGGCCATTTAGTAATAACTCCATTTAGTGTAGATTGAGTTTATGCATGGGCCGATGGCCCATTGTCCGTTGCCAATGTCCGCGCTATCCGCTCGTGGCTCACTCAATAAATTCATTTGCCGTTGTTACATACTGGTGTTGCTGTTGTTGTTGTTGCTGCCTCGGCGTTGCTAATCTTGTTGCGCATTGCCATAATTTTCAATTTACATGCACCCAGCCCCCTGACCCAGCTCACCAGGCCACCGGCCCACAACACACCCAGAGGAGCGCCGAGGATGCTGTTGTTGATGTTGATGTTGCTGTTGTTCTTGTTGTTGCCGGCGCTAATATTGGTCACAATAAATTAAGTGAAATAGTCGGGAAGCGAGTGAAGCGGGAGCGTGCGTACGCCTCGGCCATTTCGGGTGCGCGCTCGTTGCCATTCGCCTGATTATAGCCTCTAACTGTATGTTGCATGCATCATGGCTCCTCTTCCTCCTACACTGAGCAAATAGCTATTATCATGAAAATTCCTTAAGCAAATGTATTTTATTATACAAAAAACAATCCATGCCACAACCTTATATTGCATTCATAATAGCAGTGAAATCTAAAATAAAAGGCAAAGGTTGAACCTATACATTGTCTTAAATTTTAAATATGTTTCAAAGAATCGGGGAATATTTTATACTATTAACAGCTAATGTTCCAAGTAAAACATAATTTTTCTTATTTTCCAAACTACAATATGAAAAGTGTTTACTTAAAAATGGGACATGCTTTTGGTGTTTTATGATCTCAGAAAGTAAATTGTAATTTCCCAATTTTAGAAACTATTCCATAGATACCTTGAAGTTCTTCCAAGGAGTCTTGAAATATATTTTTGTGCTCTGTTGGAATATGTTTCAAAGTATTTAGGAATATTTTATATTAATAGCTAATATTCCAAGCAAATTTTGAAAGTGTTTAATTAAAATTGTAAAATGAATGTTGTTTGATGATCTCAGAGAGTAAATTGTAATTTTCCAATTTTAGAAACTATTCCATACATACCTTGAAGTTCTTCCAGGGACTCTTGAAATATATTTTTCAATTATTGAATATTCTGGACAATTTATCCTCTGCTGGAATCGGACTGTTTTTCCAACTGTAGTTTTCACTCGCCTGCTACTGCAGTGGCATTAACTTGCTGGTGTTGTTGTTGTTGTTGGGCTCCATCGGGACTGACGATGCCCTGATGTCGCCTAAGTGCAACATTTACATTTGCGCTATCATTTGCCATTGGCCCCATGTCCCCATTTCCCCAAGGTTGGGGCTGGACAGCGATGTAGTCTAATCATTGACACATTCATTGATG